TCCCCTACCCGAAGCGTGTTCCGCGGGCCCCCCTACCTTCTTCGCCCCGGGGGGGTTCCCCTTCTTTGTCCTAAGAGGGTCCCCCCTTATTCGGCCCGCGAGTCCCCCCAGTGTTAAAGGTCCGGTCAGACCCTGTATCCGGGGTGCTGGTAGCCTTAAGGTCCAAAAGCACTGGAAAACGTTAATTCTCATGGAAAGTGCTGTTCTTTGTCACCTAGTTCTGTTTTATGTTCCCAGGTCTCTGTCTCCTATTATTTTTTTCACTTTGAAGTAATTACATCCCTTAATTACTGCCTGCTTTAGCTGCTTTGTGCAGCTCTGTGTATCCTGGGCCCATCCCAGGTGTTTTGGCTCTAATCCCATGCATGCATGGTAAGGGCTTCGGACTGTTCCTGGCTCCCATTCCCATCTAATGCACTGTTCCCGTGGCCAGGTTGTCGAGGAGGAGGAAGAGCAGCCTCAAACCATTGCCTTCTGTGCGATGTTCTCAGCGACTCCAGGACAAACAAAACCTGGAGCTCAGCAGAGCCGAGGCCAAAGGAAACTCTCCCCCTCAGCGTGTGACACGATCCCAGGCCGCAGCCTCTGTCAGGAGCTCCAAGGTGGTCTCTGAGACACCTCCTGCCCTGCAGGCAGTGGGGAAGGACCCCTGGGTGGCAGCTGATCAGACTGGCACTGTGGTGCCCCTCCAGAGGAGCACAGCCAAGCCGGCAGAGCTGCTCCCCACGAGCTCAGGGGATGGCTCTCCCGAGGAACGTGGCATTCCCAAATCCCTGCCGGTGCCCACAGCCCCGGAGCTGGTGGTTCCCTCTACTCCCGAGGCCAGTGAGGCTGTGTCTGAGCTGCAGGTAAAGGCAGCCAATGTCACTATCAACCTGAGCCCAAGGGTTGGGCTGGAGGAGGGGAATGGCCCCACTTGGGAACACGACCGGGCTGAGGAGCCCTCCCATCCCCTGAGGGACAACCCGGGGACTCCAACGGGCTCCCGGAGGAGCCGCCGCTCCGTGCGCCGGAGCCTGATGGGTAAAACCTCCCTGAGCCGCAGAACCTCCCTGGCAGAGAAGTATTCCCTGGCCAGCAAGAGGGAGAGCATGGTCCGGAAATCCATCACCAGGGCAGCAAGCAAGAGGAAGATGGCTCTGCAGGGATCCATGTCCTCCAGCTCTGTAGAGGGTGAGTTTGGGTGCTACCAGGGGGTTTGCATCTCTCCTGCTCTTTGCCTTTACTGCCGAGGAAACCAATGTGCCGGGGCTAGTTATTCCATGTGAGGGTAGCAGCTGAGCTCCCTGGGCTAGATAAGCTGCAATCCCTCGTGGAAGTTCTCCCTGGCTTTCTGGAGCCTCCAGTGAGCACCTGAACTCAGGTAACTGTGAATTCAGCCTTGTAAATCACCTGGGAGAACAGCCTCAATGTCTCTGTTTCAATTTAACTTTAACCATTACTTATTTGCTGGGAGAAGCTGTTAACCCTGGAATCCCAGGGTGGTTTGGGTTGGAAGAGACCTTAAAGCCCATCTAGTTCCAACTCCTGCCATGGGCAGGGGCATCTTCTACTGGACTAGGTTGCTCCAAGCCCTGTCCAGCCTTGCCTTGGACACTTCCAGTGATGGGGCAGCCATGGCTTCTCTGGGCAGAGGGAACGATGGGCTCTCCCAAAGCCCTGTCTATTTCCTGGAAAGTGAAATTCTCACAAATTCCCTGGTCCTTCACCTCTTCCCAGGATCTGGCTGCTGGTTCTAGAGCTTCTTTGAGAAGAGGAATTTGAGGCTGAACTGTATAGATTAAAAGTCTCCCACGTTTCTGCAGTTGTTGATAGATGCAGGTTTGGGGAAGGACTGGCTGATTTAAATGTTCTTCCATGCCATGGGATGGAAGCGTTGGAGTTAGTGCAGGAGGGTAAATGGATGGATGTCATCTCTCCTTTGTATTAAACAAACTGGAGAGGGGCTCTTCATCAAGAATTGGAGTGACAGGACAAGGGGAAATGGGTTCAAGCTGAAAGAGGGGAAATCAAGGTGGGATATATGGAGGAAATTCTTCCCTGGCACAGGTTGCCCAGAGAAGCTGTGGCTGCCCCATCCCTGGGAGTGTCTAAGGCCAGGTTGGACTGGGCTTGGAGCAACCTGGGCTAATGGAAGGTGCCCACCACTCCTTGCCCATGGCTGAGTGGTGGGACTGGATGATCCTTAAGGTCCCTTCCCACCCAAACCACACTAGGGTTGTGTGATTCTGTGATTATTCGTGGCAGGTTCTGGCTGTGCCAGAACTTCCGAGCTCGCTGTGGCAGAGCCAGCTGGAACGCTGGCTTGGGAAGCAGCACTCCTCCTGTAAATAACTCTGGCTCTAACTGCTGTTAATGTCCAGGCATGGCCCTGCAGATGAGCCCGAGGCCAAGCCCAGCCCCCTTAATTCCAGCTCATGGAATATTTCTCTGAACTCATTTATAATTGAAAATGCTGCTTTCCTGCACTGGAATTGCCAGCAGCGTTCCTGCAGTGCCACCTGGGTGTGCTCCGGTGCCCTCCCCTGCCCCAGGGCAGGTCAAACCCTCTGTAGTGCCTGGAGCAGCCCTCATCCCACCAGGTCCTTGGCCTGCACCCAAAACTCACAGCTCAGGTGTGCTTTTTTCCTTTCCCACAGCCTCCAGCTCTACAGACATTCCAGAGGAGGAAGAAACTGTTGTCAAAGCTGGGTGAGAATGCTTTTGGTTATTTATTTATCCTTACTATCCTGCTTGCAGGACTTTTCCCCTGCCACTCCTGGTGTAAAATCCAAGTGGCTTTCCAGTTTCCTTAGTGTTACTAAACACAGTGTCTTTGGTCCTTCCTTTTTATCTAGGCCTCCTCCTGGACCCTGCACCCCCTCCAAGGTAAGATCTGAGCAGGGATTAAAAGCATTTGTGTCTGTGTGGATTTGGGAGGAAAATGTGGCTTTTCCTTCTTAACCTCTTGCTAGAGATCATTGTGTGAAAATTCAGTCCCAAATCTCTTGAGATAAAAAAAACCTTCTTATAGTTCAGGGAAGTTCAGCTCAGCTGGTGTCATGTTTTGCACACTGCTGTTATTTTCTGTATTTTTAAAGCTCCTTTTGACCTTTTGGTCAGTCCTGCAGGTAATTCATCACTTCTTTGTTCAGACAGCCACAGAAATCTGTGAATATTATTCAGGTCAAAACCTTTCCCTCCACAATCCTCACTGATGAGGATGATGGTGTTGTCTTGTCCAGAGTAAATGTCAATGCATGCCTTGACTCTGTCAGGTCCTTCTCAGCCCAGGTTCATCAGATCTGTGTCCTCTCTTGGGCTACAGGGTGTAGCCTGGGCCTGCCCTTGGAAGGAAGCCCCACAGAAGCAATTGGGGAGGATAAAATCTCCATAAATCTTTTTTTCTTCTCTTCCCAACCTGCTGCTGGCTGGCCAGCATGGGCTGGGGGAGGTAATGCTCGTACTGCTGGCAGAGAGCAATTCTAGAAGCCACAGCCCATTATCCCAGCAGAGCCTGCTCTGGTGTAAGTGCAGAGACGGAGACCAGCGATGGGTATCCCACAGCAAACAGATAAATCATGGAAATGAGCCATTTGCCTGCTGTCTCTGGGCTCCACATTCATCACTGCTCAGGGAAATGGGCATGCTGGCTCTGGCCAGAGTTCCAGTAGCACAGATTTACAGCTTGGAAGGCTTTTGTCCTTAATAGTTGATGGGTTTGTTGAGTTTAAGCAGCAGAGATGCTCTGTTAATGTCCGTGCTTCTCCTGCTGATGCAGCATCCAGGACTTTGCCAAGAGGTGGTTTGGTGTTCCCTGGTAATGCTGCTGAGCATGCCCTTGTCAGAATCACCCCACAGTCTGAACCAGGAATGGGCCATCTCCATGTGGAATTGTCCTGAAACCCCTTTGCTTTTCCCACAGGATTCCCAAAGCCCACAGATGTCCCTTTCCTCCCACACCATCAGCAAACACGGGCAGCCACAGGAGCCAAGCAACAGTGGTAATTCCAGAGGGGTTTGGGGCAGGACTTGGGGGAAGTTACTGCTTTGGGAAGCTGGAAATCTTGCTGGTTAATTTGAGAGCTCAGTTTGAAAGACTAATTAATGTTTGATGAGGGAGGATTTGCTTCAGACAATTAGCAGTGAGGAAACTCTTTGCTGGCCTCATTTCCACCGTGGAAAGCACCTGGAGATGGGCGTAATGAGGGTTGTGGGAGGCCCAGTTGAACCCCATTGCTGAAGCTGTGCAGAACACAGCAGTGCTGGTGTGAGCTGCAGGGCAGGGACAGCTTTGGGCAGCTCTGCTTTCTCTGGAGTTTCCAGGTGGGAATGGTGCTATATGAGCCAGGTCCTGCTGTGCCCAGCTCGTGGCAGGTGGTTGTGCTGTTCAGTGAGCTGCTACATCCACTCCCTGCCGTCAGACCTGGGCTGGAGGGGAATTTTGCCTGTCAGAACTCACTGTGTAACTGTTCTCTTTCAGAAAACAAGTTGAACAAGAGTGGGGAGACCCTGGACCCACCTCAGAGTGCAAGGTATGTCCATAGGAGCACTGGTTGGAAGTGCCTCAGGGGACTGTGGACCAGTTCAGAGCCGGTTAAATGCTGGAATGTTGTTCACTGGCCTCAGTGTTTGTGACAATGAAACTTCGGCAAATAAGTTCTTCCTGCCTCTATGATTCTGTGATTTAATTTCTCTCTTCTATTGCATTAGGAATTTTTTATTGGCTAACTGCCTGTGCGTGCACAGTCTTAGAAGGGACCTTAAAGCCCATCCAGTCCCACCCCCTGCCATGGTGGCAACCAGTAGACCACGGTTGCATCCAAGCCCTGGCCTATGTGACCTTCCCAGGGATGGGCCAGCCACAGCTTCTCTGGGCAACCTGTGCCAGGGCCTCACCACAATGGAATCTCTTTTAAGCTGGGATAGTTTATGGCTCTTTCCACCCCTGACTTTGAGACATCAGAAGGACTTTCCAGGTGTGATGGACTGTGCTGTCTCACAGGAGGAAGCCGAGCTACAAGAGAGCCGTGGACGAGCGCTACGACCAGCAGCAGGCAGAGGAGGGAGGGCTGTCTCCTCCCAGGAAGAAGACCCCATCCCCAGTCTTCCCAGCCAGCAAGGTAAGACCCTTGTTACCCCGGAGTACCTCCCCAAGACCCTTAGTTACTGGCTCCTGCTCACGCTTTGGTGTTCCTCCCGCAGGTCGTGCGCCCGTTCAAGACGTTCCTTCACACTGTACAGAAGAACCAGCTCCTGATGACACCGAGCTCCGTGGGGAGGAATGGAGTCATAAAATCCTTCATCAGATACAACACCCCTCTCCAGGCTGACCCTAAGGTAAGAGGAAACCCTGCTCTAAGCCAGTACACGATGGTTTGATTAATGCCTAACCTAAAGCACAGACACAAAGGAAACTTTGCAACCCGTTTGGAACTAAGAAGTAACCTGAAGCTGTCTGTTTTCACTTAAATAAGATCTGGGCTAGTCAACTTCCTAAAGAATTCCAATTTGGACTATAAGCTTTATTCCTGCAGCATTCCCTTGTGGTAATGCCAAGTGACAGTCAGGGATGAAAACTGGGAACCAAAACTCAAGGGGATTGTGAATGCTGAGGTGTGAAACCTGCACATCCCAGGTCTCCTCGCTAGGACTTGTCTCACGAGAGAGACTGAGCAAATGCCTCTTAACCCCAAACTTCTGAGATCCTCCCAACCTTTGAAGCAGGAGGAAACACAAGGCTGTCCTGGATGTGGGAGCAGTCAGACAATGTGGCTTATTAATATAATACTTAAATGAATGACACGGACCCGGCTAGCTTCTTAGGGGTTCACGGCCAAATCCGTTTATTCAAATCAAACAACACTTTATATACCTGAGTTCAAAGTGACACATGACTGCATTGACCAATCACCATGGGGTATCCCACTGCCCATGCGTGTGGGAGTACTTGGGAACTGCATCTCCCAGGCTCCTGTCCTGAAACCCGACTCCTACATCTCCCCTCTTCTTTATTATTGTGAGGAAATACAGAATATTGTATATAACAGTACGTTTTAAGCTTTGTAAACTCACTACTGTGTCACTTTGGTCTCTCAACAAACTTACTTATTTGAACCTTTACCTGTAATCTTTGAGACTTGCTTGACAGAAATTTGTACTTTCATTTCTTACGGGTTTGTGTGTACTTGGGGTAAACAACAACTTTATTAACCTGAGGGTTTTTGCATAACCGGGTAAAACATCAACTCTCACTTCTCCAAGGTCCTGCATGTAATTGGTAAGCAGGAGAAATTCAACTCCATTTCTAGAAAAGGGCCCTTAGAGAACAAGTGTTATGATGCAAGTGTAATTTGTTCAAGGCACGTGAAGCACCTCCGTTGACACACATACATGTTCACACAGCTTCTCTCATTCACACAGAAGTGGCCACTTCATTCATACTCAGCCATTCACACTTAGAATTATTTTTATTATGCCTCTATTTTTTAACTACACATTTTAGATTTATAAGTGGTTGCATGTTTTTCAATCTGTCACTCCTGGTAGTCATATCTGGCAACCGTACTTGTTTTGGAAATTTGAAAATGAATTAATATGAAGAATATAAGGCCTAACAAACCTATATCATGTCTTACCTGATGTCTTCCCCTCTCCGTTTTTTTTTTTTTTTGTTATAGAAAACCAAAAGTCAATACATTCAAAGATACATACACAAGTTACTATCACAATATGTTAACACAACTTAAAATTCAGCATCTCCTGTAAACGATTAGACTAAGTTATCACCATAATAACACAGTATTTAAAACAAATTATCATTATAATATGTTAACACAGCTTGGAACTTAGCATCCTTTATACCTCAAGGTTGAAGGCTGTGTGTAACTCCATGTGTTGCATGTTTTAATGCTGTAAGGGCAGAAGGAATCAAACATTTATCATTCTCAATCTTCACATGAAATCCTACATAAGTCTTTGTATAAATTATCACGGAATCTTTTTACTTGCTGAAACAATCAGAAAACAGAGTATAAACATTTTGAACATTATCCTAATAACAAAATCGAACTCTTTATCACGTTTTCACTTGCAAACACAAAGGCAAGCATTCAGTGGTTCCCATCATTTGTGGATAACACAGGAATCAGAAAAGTTTTCTTCGTTCTCACTGAAAGCAGTTTGTCTTGTTTGCTCTGGCGGTTGTCTAGTGTTCTACTTTTGCAGAGACAAACTCAAAAGGCAATTTTAAAGGTTTTAGACAACAAAGAAAATCTTCCTTCCCCCTCTCCTCAGACAGAGGCAAAACACCAAGAAAATTCACCTTCTGTGGCAATAATGTAAATACATTTATTAACAAGACAGGGAGATGCCTAAGAACCTTTTAAATACGTTATTTTAACTAAATTGTCACAACAACTGCTTCTATTTAGGTGCACTTTAGAGCTTAACAACTTCAAGTACCTTAACAAGCTTAACAATTTCAGCAGAGTCACTGGAGAACTAATGAAACTTAGAAACAAAACCTTGACGTTTTCAGTGTTCTTACCAAAGGTTTCAAGATAACAAAATACGTGTTAACTTAGCCTGTGTATATCAGGGGAGCTCACAGCATGATGCAGCCTGGCTCCCCGTGGGCTGCGGCACCGCCACTTCCCCGGCTGCCCAGGCAGGAGCAGTCTGGGAGGGTGGGGTTTGAGAGCTGATTCTAGACAAGGGTGTAGCTTCCTGGATGCACCCAGAGCCGTGGTGGAAGCAGAGGGTGCTCTACTGGTACCCAATAACTCACTGGGGCTGGTTTCTCCTTGCAGGAGAGCTGGGAGGAAGGGAGAAGAGGGCAAGATGCAGGAATTGCTGTTCCTGCATTGAGCAGCCTGATAGCAGAGCTTCCTAGAGCGTTCAGGCTGTGCTGCTCAGAGCCTGGCTGTGCTCCAGGGGATCAGGGAAGGCTGTTGGGAAGCGGTGCAGGGTTCCAGCCTCAGTCTCACTGGGCTCCTGCTGATGTTGGTGTCAGTACTACAAAGGAGTTAATACGATGAGAAAAGAGTCTTGTGGCTGGGGAGTGCTTCCTCTGCTGCTGTCAGATTGCGGAATGTTATGTTTTAGCTTTCATTCCAGCACAGGCAGCTTCCCCTCGGGACTTTTTCCATGTGGGAGCCAAACATAACTAAATAGCAGCAGAGCAATAAGACATGATTGTTAGTTTTATATTAACCAGTTTGGCTGCTGATAGCACCAAGCTTTTACAACACAGTGCCCAGCATAAGGGAATCCCTTGGATATTCCCACATGGGTTGGTGCTGAGACCAGGCCTGCTTTGGCATGGAGTGAGCTGATGTTAGTCCATTTGCTGGGGCTGTAGTGGTGGCTGGATCCCACTGCCCTGGCTGACAGTGTGTCTAGGCTGGGTCAGGAAAACGAGGAGAAAAGCTCCCATTTCTGGTTGGCTCCCATTTCTGGCTGGCTGTGTGCTGGAGCAGGCTGGGAGCTCTCAGAGTGGTGGTGGTTCACCACCAGATAGAGCTTTGTGGGAGGCAAAGGCGCCAGCAGGAGCCTGAGGTGTTTCCTGGAGCACCATCTGTCCCTGCGCTCGCCGCAGGAAGCGGGACCAGTGCCAGGCATTGGCGCTGCTTTGTGGGTCCTTTGCACCAAGAGAAAGCACGGGGCTGGCTGCCTGCAATCCCTGGGGATGCTGCCTGGGCTTCCAGGGATGATGCTTCTGTTTCAGTGTCCCAGCTTCTGCCCTTGCTCCCCAACATTCTCACCGCTGCCTTGTTTTCCTTGCATATATCCATTTGTGACCGGATCACTGCCTGAGCTCTGCTCCAGGGCTGTCACCACCCCGTGTTCCTGTCTGCAGCTCCTTGCTGTCACCTCTGTACCCTACCCCTGAGCGAGTGAAGTGGGAAGGAGCTCCTTGGCAGGTAGGTACAATCACATTTCAATTCCCCTCAGGAAAAGGAGAGGCAGAAGCTGGAGGCTCTGCAGAAGAAGCAAGAAGCCGAGCAGCTGAGGAGGCAAAGACTGGAGGAAGAGAAGAAACGGCGACTAGAGGAAGCAAAGCTGTGAGTAGACGTGGTCATGCTGCTGTAGGTACCTGTGCCCAGGTGTTTTACCTTACAGAGCCCATGCAAACAGCAGAAATTCCTGTGGGCACGGGCAGTGTGTTCTCAGAATTCTCTAGAATGCTGATGCAAAACATGAATTGTCCTTGCCAGCTGCTGCTGCTGCGGCTTCTTTTCTGGAGTCCTCCCTCTCTGACAGAGCTTAAACATGGCTGGTGCTCAAATTGCTGTGGAGTTTGGGCCGCTGAGTTTCCTGCTGTGTGCTTTGGCCTTGTGCTGAGCTGTGAGGAGCTCAGCAGCACGGTGAGCTGGGCTGTGTCCTTAGGAAGCGGGAGGAGCGCCTGCGCAAGGTGCTGCAGGCCCGGGAGCGGGCGGAGGAGATGGAGAAGGCAAGGAAGAGGAAGATCGAGCAGAAGATAGCACTGTTTGACGAGAAGACCGAGAAGGTACGGCCCACACAGAGCTCCTTGAGGTAGCTGGTACCACACAGTGTGCCTCTTTCAAAAAGGGCGGCGGAGGCTGCTTGGATTCTAGAGGTTGAATGAGAGAACAGTTGGATAAAGAACTTTCCAGAGCCTTGGTGATCCTGAGGGACTGCCTTTCTCTGGCTACAGCAAATGGCAGCTGAACCCCTGTTTTTCCAGAATGATGAATCTAAATGGGCTTTATTAGTGCTCTGGTAGATGGGAGAAGGAAGGATGTGCAGTGGATAAAGGCAGCCTAATGGCCCCGAGGCTTTGTCTGCTGCTTCTCCCAGCTGAGTAATAACTGGAGGGGGGAAAGCAAACATCCTTCCTCCGGAGCCTTCCTCGGATCCCAGACTTCCAGGCAATTTGTGCACTGGCCATAGTGGTCATTTGTCTGCTTTAATTATCCCCAGCTGCCTCTCTGATTGCATGGCTCTGAGGATACATTCCAATGGCTTTGTGGGACTGGATGTGTAAATACCAGGGTGGGATCAGCTCTTCCCCGGGGGATGTAAAACAAGGTTGTTGCCCTAAATGTGACCTTTTAAAAACAGAGCACAGGCCCCTTTGGCTCCTGGGTGCAAAAGAGGGGAGGGTTTGCTGGTGAGAGGGTGGGAGCTCTGAGTCTGTGAGATGTCCTGCAGTGCTGTCCCACCTGAGATCTGGGTCTGTGTGTGCTCCAGGTGAGGGAAGAAAGGCTGGCAGAGGAGAAGATCAAGAAGAGAGTGGCTGCCAGGAAGATGGAGGAAGCAGAGGCCCGGCGCAGACAAGAGGAGGAGGCCAGGAGACAAAAAGCTCTGCAGCAGGTGTGTGGGGCCTGTCCTGTCCCACAGGCAGAACTGGAGAGGGGGATCCACCTGCCTTGGGCACTGGGAATTCACCCCTGAGATGTTTCCCTGCTGTGTAATGATGGGGATTTGGGCCAAATGAGGGGTTCCTGGTGCTGTCTCCTGGAGCCTGCTCCTGTCAGGTGAGTAATGCCTGCCTGGGCTTACAGGAGGAGGAGGAGGAGCGGCGGCACAGGGAGCTGCTGCAGAAGAGGAGGGAAGAGGAGCAGGAGCGTGCCCGGAAGATCGCTGAGCAGAGGCAGGCCGAGCAGGAGCGGGAGAGACAGCTGGCTGCAGAGAGAGAACTGGAGAGGAAGAGGGAGCAGGAGCGGATCCAGGCAGAAAAGTAAGGCAAAATCCCCTTTTATATATCAAATTCTGTGCTGGGATTGAAACACAGCTGGAACAGGGGGCAGGAGTGGAAGGCTGGAGGAGCGAAGAGCCACTCTGAGGTGACAGCACAACTCCAAACTGTCATCAGTGCTGAGCTGCCAAGGAGGAATTCTGGGCTCAGGGATATGGGGACTGTGGTGGGGGGTGTCTGAAAAGCTGTGAGGGCGGGGGGGTTGCTTCAGGCAGCCAGAGGGGGACCCTGGTGTTGTTCTGGGAGTTGAGGGCCTGTGCTGTGGTTCTCAGGCTCCGGGAGCAGCAGGAGAGGGCTGCCCGACTGCAGAAGGAAGTGCAGGCTGCTAAGGAGCGGCTCCGCAAGGAGATGGAGAAGAAAGAGGTAAGTGCTTGGTTTTGGGGAGGGGGAGAGCCACATGACTGACCTCAGAAGACCCGCTCAGCTGGGATGCTGAGGAGCCACTTGTGGCACTTCTGAGCTGGAAGTTTGACCTCTTTGGGATGGTTACGGTGCAGTGGGGGGACTTAGCCTCTAAAAATATTGTGTACTAGCCTAGAAAGAGACCAAGATCAGTAGCACAGACTTCTGCGGATGGTCAGCTGGTTTCTGGCTTTTATAGCCTGAAGTCAGCAGCAAGCTTTTCAAGGTGGGGGGCCCTGGCTTTATCAGGGAAAGGAAGCTGATGCTCTGACACGGGTGTCCATGGGTTTGTACCCCTCTGAGGGAAGTGCACCTTGTCCCAAGTGCTCCTCAGCTGCATGAGCTGCAGTTGGGTGCTTAGTTATTTTGCCTGTCACAAAGATGGATGGCTGGGTTGGCAGTGTAATCCCTAAGGGTAATTCCATGGGTGTCACTTGGCAGCGGGAGCAGCAGATGCTGGCGGAGAGGAAGAGGCAGGAGGAAGAGCAGAAGAAATTGTCAGAGGAACAAAAGGCCAAAGACAGTGCCCGGGCACCACTCCTGGAGAATAAGGAGGTAACTTGGGGGTGTGTCCTTAGAGGTGACAGCAGAGAACTTCAGTCCCAGCACTGACCTGCTCCTGCCTTGGGCAGTTCCACCCTCTGCTTTTATCTGCCTTTCCAATAACCCAGGAATTCTGTAAATCCTGGTTATCTGGGTTTGACTCTGTGAATATTTCAATGACAGAGAGAAGAGAAGCAGGAGGGATTGGCCAGGGTTTCTGGCTCTGGGATAAAGCAAGCAGCTATTGGAGCCGTCTGGACTCCTCTTAAATACAGGAAGGACCTCAGGAGCAGAAAAGATGCTGACAGTTTTATTTAGGGTCAATTTTGGGAACCGCCACAAGGTGGCAGCAGAGCCTGTGGAACGGTGTTGGTTTGGCAGGGGAGAAACCTGCGGGTGTACCTCCGTGCCCTCAACACTGACAACAAACACGTGGCTCTCCGACTGCTTGCAAAACTGAAAATGTCCAGTTGAAAAAAACTGAAATCAGCAGCTGTAGGTTTTCTCCCCCCCTTGCACTTCCTGGCACTGCTGCTCCCATCAGCACGAACTCGGTTTGGCTGACCTGGTGGTCAGGTTCTCTGCACATCATTTGTCAGTTTTATATCATTAATCAAGCCCAGAAGACAGGTTGCAGAGTGTTTAGTGCACATGACTGCTCCAGTGACATAAAACTTCCATTTAACCTTTGCTTGACCCGAGTGGAGCTGCTGCTCTATTAGGTCTGTTAGATCCATCTCTTGCTGCATGCTCTTGCCAATAATCAGCCTAATTAAACAGGAGAAGGCCATGCACAGCCGTAATTGGGTCATAACTTGGGTCAAGCTCTTAGGTGCAAACTGAAGAGCTGCCAGACTCGGGGTTTGCCATGAGGTGACAGAGCAGGAGGTTGGGGACAAGCCAGTCCCAACGTATCTCAGAGCGGGGCAGTGCTGCTGCATCCAACACCTGTGGAATGTGTTTGCCTTCTAGAATTCCCCTGCCTGCACTTCATACCAGATGACTCCACAGAGCAGGAAAGAACCCAAGCCCGCCATCACAAGCTCAAACGATTATGGGATGGACCTGAACAGCGACGACTCGACGGACGATGAGAGCGAGCCCCGCAAGCCCGTCCCTGCCTGGGCCACAGGTACATGTGGGGGGATGTCTGTCTGGAAGCCCCAACACCCTCGTGGCAGGTCTGCCTCAGCAGGCTGTGGAACCTGGTGTTGGGTTTTGCTCAGCTCCTGCTACCTGGGTTAGTTACAACTACCCCAGCATGAAGCGAGTACTTCCATGTCCAAGGCCACGTTGGGTGGGGCTCAGAGCAACCTGGTTTAGTGGAAGGTGTCCCTGCCCATGGCAAGGGATTGGAACTGGATGAGTTTTAAAGTCTGTTCCAACCCCAACCATTCCACGATTCTATGTGGAATCAGAGTCAGGGGCTCCTCCAGCTCTTGGGGATCTTGTCACAACTTGTCAGGTGACAAATACTCTGATAAGATGCCTTGGAGCAGTGAGAGACAAGCTAAGAGGGGACACACTGTGGGCAGCAGCCCACACGGCCATCCCAATTAACAACATTAACGCAAACCTCACCCGTTCCTGCAGGGAATCAGCTCAGCCAGGCTGTGATCCGGCAGTACTACAACCCCCCTGACGTGGATGCGCTGTTCGGGGCCATCCCCAGCCCCAAGCTGGAGGACATCTTCTACAAGAGCAAGCCCCGCTACTTCAAGCGCACCAGCTCGGCCGTGTGGCACTCGCCGCCCACCGTGGGGGCCAAGCCGGGCCTGGGGCTGCCCTGCGGCCTCAAGAAGCCCTGAGGTGAGCTCAGGTGTGCAGCAGGTAGGATTTCCTGTCTCCAGGTGAGGAAGGAGTCACTGTTCACTTGAAATATTTAGGTTTTAGTGTGTAATAAATGGCAGCTCTTCCCGGGTTCCTGCGCCTTGGTTGGCGTGGTTGGTTTCTGTCAGGCCAAGCTACAAAGTGCTGCCTAGGGAATTGCCTCTCTCTTACTCTCAGCTTGGAGCTGGCATGGACTCGGACCTTTAGTGGGTGACGGACATCACCTGAAGCTGTGGGATCCCCCCCTCTCAGCGGAGCAGGCCTGGCAGTACCTGCCAGCAGTTGTACTTCCGTGCTGGCCTCGAGGCCAGTGACAATCAGGGACCATTGCACACACCTGGGCACATCTGGCCTACTCCACTGCTCTTCTCAGGAAGGTGTTCCCAGGTGTTGCTCTTCATCTCCTGCAATCCCAAAAGGATTTGTTACTCCCTTTCCCACCTGTGTGGTCGTGTCCATCAGCCAGGCCGAGGCTGACATTGGCACAGCTCAAGCTGGAACACACTGAGGGTCTCACCTTCCTTCAGCTGCAGAGAGACATGACTCCAGATGTGACTGTGTCCCCAAGGACCCCCAAGTGCTCTGGGCCTTGTTAGGAGAAACTGTGCAAAGGTTCTGGCAGTTTTGTTTCTCATTGTAATTCCACCTCTGTGGCCGGATGGGATTGAGAGGATGTTTAACCCTAATCCCTTGGCTGTGGTTCAGTATCAGCTGGTTGTGTCTCTTGGCCTGTTTAGCACTTCCTGTTCAGTCAGTCACTGTCAAATGGACTCTGGCCAACCCAAACCAAAATTCCAGCTCAGCATTCCCATTCCCTGTAAAACCCACGTAAGGACTGTGCCCTGTGTGAGGGGCCCTCAGCCTGTCCACGTGCCCATCTGTATGTCTGTATCCAATGCTCTGTTCGCCAGCAAATGTGCTCAAAACTATGGGGGGTTTTATATGTAAATATGTTGGTGTCTGTGCTTCTGGGGCTGCCTTGTAAATCCAGGTCTGGCTATCGGTGTCTGTATCCATGAGGTGCTTTTGTGCTTCCATGGCTGCTCTGTGGATCCAGGTCTGTATCTGCGTGACCACAACTTCTTGTCCAAAAGCTGCTGACCTGGCCAAATGCTGTTGGATAAAGTGACTTCAGTCTCCAGCTCTAGGCTCCTTGCTGCTTTTTGTGAGAAATGGAGGGTTTGAGGACTGTCTCTTTGAGTTGCTTCGTGCTGGTTCCTTGAGGCAGGAAATGTCCTGTTAGGGAAGAACTTTCCAACTCTGGTGGAAAATCTGTGTCCCTGGGTGTTCCCCAGCACTTTGTAGCAACCACAGAGGGTTTTGGTCCCTGAATTTTAAGGTTTGGGGCCTTCATGGCTGTGGGTCCCTTGGGGACATCACTGAGTGCCCAGCCCCTGTCCCTGAGCTGTCACCCTGGCTGGAGGTGGGACCCCCTGTGTGCGTGGTCAGATCCTGCCCCCCAGGCACAGACAGGGACACAACACTCAGCTCACACATCATTTATTTAGTGACAAAGGGCACAAGGGGATGTCACCAAGGTGAGGGGATGACACTGTGTCACAGGGGCTGTGGGTGTCAGCACACACTGAGGGTGTCACTGGGGTGGGGAGGCAATAGGGGTGTGGTTTGATGACACGGGGTGACCTGGCGTGGGGATAGGGGGTATCCCTTCACGTTGCCATGTGCGGGGACATGGGATGTCCTTGTGTGCTGCCACGTTGGGAAGGAGACAGCACAGCACGTGTGGGGACTCGCAGGGTACAGGTGTGTCCCCAGAGATGTAGCAGGACGCAGGACATGTCCCTGCCGGGCTCTGCCGCACGGTGACACAGGTAGGGCGGGTCCCTGTCCCTCGTCCCCGCGCGCTACCCGCGCTCGCAGATGAGCTCCACGACGCTGTGCTCCATGGGCACGGGGTCCAGGCAGCGGTGGGCAGCGCTGGCAGCCACCTCGTCCAGCAGCCCCTGCACCACGCGCTCGTCGGAGGCGAAGCGCCACAGGTAGAGCTGCAGGTAGTGCCCGTCCACCTGCACCTGCTGCAGCCCGAAGCGCCCCAGCGTGCGCAGCCGCACGCACTCCAGCAGCGTCTTCAGGCTGATCTTGATGATCCCCGTCAGCACCGACACCTGTGTGGGCACAGCGGGCAATGGGGTGGCATCCTCAGGGGCATGGGGAGACCCCTGGCCTGGCTGACACTCCCCAGGCACCCTGGGCCTGGTCACCCCTGAGCAGTGACACCTAGAACAGGGGATAGTGGGCACACCCTTGTCCTGGTTGTCAGCTCCTGAGCACCCCCCAGGCCCCAACACCTGTGTCATGGGGACACCAGGGACATGTGACAGTGGGAAGGTGGGCAGTTTAGAGCCCCTGTTTAGGGACGTGGATGGCCTCACCTTGTTGAACTCGACAGGGCTGAAGATGTCAATGCGCTCTGAGAAAAGCTTCTGGATGTTGCTGAGCAGGTGGGTGTCCATGGGGGCACTGGGGACAGGGAGTCAGGGACAGTCAGGGACTTGAGAGAGCCAAGGATGTGGGGACAGGGACACAGGGACCATCAGGGGCCATGAAGATGGTGAGAGAATGTAGGGGTGGTTTGGGGACAGAAAGGGAAATGTGGGGATGGTCACAGGACATGGAGGGACAAGACAACTATGAGACACAAGGGATACAGGGATCACCAGGGGATACTGGGACAGCTGGGGGGAACATGGGGATTGTTGGGATAAACAGGGATCATCGTTAGGACAGTTTGGGGACATGGGGACAGCCAAGGGCTGTCAGGTGGATATTAGGACAGTCTAGGGGTGTGAAGAGAGTGCCAGGGAAGATGCGATGGGTACTGCAGGAGCGGCACAGGGGTGCCATGGCTGACCTGGGGGTGTAGCTCGGGGCATAGCGGCCGGGTGCCCGCGAGCTGCTGTAGACAGAGAAGGCACGTCGGCTGGAATCGCTGCTCTGCGCCCGCCGCACTCCTTCCTCGAAGAGCTGCCCCACCTGTGTGTGGCACCACACCCTCAGCACTCAAAACCCCCTGCTGGGACCCCCCCCCAAAACACCCAGCATCCCTCCCAAAACCTTCTGGGATCCCCAAAGATCCTCAAGGACCAGACTGAGACCTCGGGCAAACCCTCTGGATGCTTCAGGGACTTCAGCTCCTCCCTACCCAGATCCACTGGAACCTCTGGAAGCTGCTGGCAACTTCCCACCAAAGGGATCTTCCCAAAGCCCTCAAGGACCTTATGGGGACTGCGGGGACCCCTCCAGGGGCCGCCAGCCTGACCTGGACGTCGATGGCAGTGATGTCCTCCACCACGCGCTTCATGACGGCGCGGACGTTGCGGGGCTCGACGGTGCCCAGCCAGTCGCGCGTCTCGACGCTCTTGCGCAGCATCTGCGCCACGGCCGCGCCCTGCACCTGCACATAGTGGTCCAGCAGCCGCTGCGCCGCCGCCCGCGCCTCCGCACACAGCGCCGGCCCCGGGGTCACCGCCGGGCCCGAGTCCTGGGGGCACAGCAACAGGTAGGAATGGCCCCCACACCTCCCCTGCCAGCACCAGGCACGGGGTCACTGCCAGCCCTGTGTGCTGCTGCAGCAGCATCACTGCCCCTGTTGTGTTCGTGGGGCATCGGGGGCACGCTGGGACATGCAGAACCCCCCTGGGGACCTCCCGAGGTGCTCTTTTAGGGACGTTTGGGAGACACCACACAGGTCAGGACCCTCCTGTCTCCACAGGCAGTGCCATCTCTGGGGTCACCTCCTGGATGGACATGGGTGACGGCAGGGCACAGGGAGGGTCTTGGGGGTATTTGGAGGTACATAAAGACAAAAGGGAAGATCCCAAAACCCCCACACAGGGCACTGTCCCCACCACCATCCCCTGGGTGGGCACAGGGCCACAGAGGGGTCATCTGAGGTCACATAGAGGCTATTTTGGGGCTAATCAGAGCATTTTGGGTCTACTCAGGGCTGTTTTTGGGAACAGAGACAGAAGGAAGGTGCCCATGCTGTGGTGCCTGGGGCTGGGACACAGAGGGGTGTGGAGCCAATCTGTGACATCTTGGGGACATTCAGAGTCTCCTTAAGGACATTCTGGGGCTCACCTGGGGTGGGAACTGCTCGTCGGTGAGGGTGAGGATGTAGCTGATGGTGGAGTTCTCGTAGTCCAGGCAGAGGCGGGCGAGGAGCAGCAGCAGGGCCGGGGGGGCAGCAGGGGCCCCCCGCTCGGCCGGGCCATCAGCAAAGCCACGGGCCGTGCGGCACAGCCAGCGCACAAAGGCCACCACCAGCCCCTCGCGCACCGCTGCCACGCAGAACTCCCCCTGTGCCACAAATGGGGGGGTCACACTCCAACAAAGCCCCCCAAACTGCCTCATGCAGGCTCCAAACCGGTCACTGAGTGACCCCCAGCCTGCCCTGTTCCACCCCCAAAATGCCCCATGCCAGCCCCAGATCTGTCTTCCAGACGACCCCTGACTACCTTTGGCTCCCCGCCCTGGCCCACGGCAGCCCCAATCACCCCCCAAAGCCGCCCCGTGCCCGACGGTGCCCGCACCTTGAAGTTAGGGCAGGGCTGGCGAAGGCAGTCCCTGGCGTGAAGAGCTGCACGTAGCCAGCACGGCCTGAGCTGGCCCAGCACGGAGGCAGCCAGTGTGGCCAGCAGGTCGG